AGTATATATATTTTTAAAATCATATATTATCTTCCCAAATTCCTTTTCACACCAGGATTTAGAAATTTAAAAAAGCCAATAGGATTAGCAAGTAAATGCTCTATTGCATAAAGGTGCCCATACACCTAATTTTCATTCAGAAATCTTCCATGAATGGTCCACCAACGATTTTAATTACTGTCCTCCTGGCTGAATTTCCTCAATCAGTCAAGCTGATTGAATCTTATGAATCTTATGAAAATCATTAGATTAGTGGCGTTTTCGTATGGAAAGAATCTCTGCAAGAACACTGCACATTTGCAATCAAAAATTTGTTCTGTCGATCGATTAAATTCAGTGAGTTAGTTTTGCTAACGAACGATTATCGAAACAACATTGATCTGTGCTTGATGGGCTATTTGAGTTAGAATCGAATGAGGGTTCTTGGCAGCAACAAACATTTCCAATCGAAAATCTTGAGGTGTATGGCCAGCTTTGCACAGGCCTGTCATACTGGGGGACAAGTGTATAGGGATGGTATAATCAATGTGTTGCTCATTATCCAATTAGCAGGCAGGGTTTGGATAAAAGTTTAAGCTGAACAAGGTGGAAACACATATGTGTTCACTGTTTTAATATCCAAAACATTTTTAGTTTTGTACAGTCAATCCTTTAAATTACAGCTTCCACGCTGCATGGCTAGAAAGCTTTTTCATTGTTCAATTTTACTTGTTTCTGGATCAACTCACTAATTGGGCAGTGATGAGATGCTGATTTACTGTTGAATAAGTAATCTTGAGGCAAAGACATGACACAGCAAGCTCCGTTGCTGAACCAGAAAATATGTGTCAGGGCTGTGCAGTATGGTAGGTGTGTGTAAAGCATAAGATGGGTGTTCAAAATTACAGAATTAAAAACCCTTTAACAGGTAAAGCAGTAAACATGCAGTATATGTTCCAAAAAGTCAGAGTTGGGCTTTAACAAACATAGCACGCCTCCCAAGGCCACCATTCTTTTTTCTGTCCTCACTGCTCAAGCCGGGTATACTAAGAATATGTTTGAGTTTTTGCCCTCACCTTGCTGGCTTCTTCTGGCCTGCCGCACAGGCTCAGCCTCTCCTGTTGTGAAGTTCCCTTTGTTCAGGTGGCTGAATGCAATCTTAATAGGGAAGCCTCCCCCATAGCCTTGGAGTTGGGGTGCAGGAAATGGTCTCTTGGGGTCTCTTCATGTTTGGATGCTTCCTCCATGATGGCGGCGGGTTAAACACTTGCTTAGCCTCCTGGTCTTGTGACTCCAGAGAAGAACCGTGACTCAGCTGCATCATCACAAACTATGGTTGTACTGGGATGATCACATGCATGGACAAGCTGACAAGTAGGATCCACTCCATTTTCTTTCAATTAGTTTGTTTTAGAAATACATGTGCTACTATTTCCTATGGCCTTGCATTGTTGCTTTGCTTGGGCTGAATCTTTCTGAATATCTGTTATGTCTGTAGAGCCATTCAGTTTTTCATGTGTGCTTAAACCTTACAGGTACATTACAGGGAAGTATGTGATTCTGTGGAGCTGCTATGCCTTAGCTGAATCTTGCATGTATTTGCCTAAAAACATCCATTGCTGAATGCAGGCTGCTGCCATGTGCTCTGCTGCTAAAGCTTATCTAGATCTTACAGAAATGTGTTTGTTTGCTAACTCTGTCAGCGTCAATCTTGAGCCTTAACTCTTTGGGTGCCTTTCATGTGAGTATTGTGCTGTCACCTGTGGTTCCCCAAGCGTTGTTAATGTTTAAATGTAACTTATGGTATTGTTGCTTCTTGCAGGCCTATCCTGCCTGTAATCTTTTCATCGTGCTATGTATACAGCATTGTGTTAATGACAAGAGCTTGTGGTGCTATAACCCTGAGCACATGAGTTTGTGGCTTCCAGGTTTCAGCATGGCTGTTAGTGTCTAGCAGGTGCTGACAGGTGCTGTTAATCACATCATTATCTTCAGTTTCATCTGTATTTTGTAAAGGTGGCCATACACTTTACAACCATCGCAAGACCTTAGTCTTGCGATGGTTGTAAAGTACTTATAAAAACGTACGATCTGCCCATCTTGGGCAGGCAGATCGTACTCTCAATCATTGCAAGCCCGCCCCCCTGAGGGGTGGGCTTATGATGACTGTAATGAGGGGCGGGCTTACGATGACTGCAAACGGGCAGTGTGCGTGCGCATACAGGCCCGTTCGGCAGTTGTCGAACCAGCAGGCCACTAACTCGCCGGGAATCGTACGATTCTCGGCGAGTTATAGGCCTGCTGGTTTTCTAGCATGCTGGTTCGATGGAAGACGTGCGACCGTACAGTAGAAACGGTCGCACACCTTCCATACACTGCACGATTCTCGTACGATCGTACAGTGTATGGGCACCTTAAGGTTGGATCATGTGTCAATTACCTAACCTCATTCCCCAAGAGACCAGCTACATTCTATAAGGTGAGGGTCAGGTATGTATGAAGATAAAATAAAAAAGAGCGCACAATGCATGGGCATAATAAATTGTACGTTTTTCAGCCCTATTGCCCGCACTGTTCCTCAGAGTGCATATACAGGGGTTAATGGATTGTAAATCTCTCCAGCCCTTTGCCATCACTGCTCCTCAGAGTGCAAATGCATGAACTTCTGGATTATAACTCATCACCAGTACTGCTCCCCAAAGACAGAGTAAGCTGCTCAATTTGGGATGAAAGGTCCGCTTCAAGCCGTGATACAGTGGCTAAATATGCAGCATCCTGCGTCCAGCTAGTGGATTGCATCACAAGAATTGTACAACCTTTAAGCAGTACTTGGCCTACAATCACCTGGCAGGATGCTGTGCCAGGTTTACCCTGCAGGGGCAGCAGTGAATAAAGAGGAGAAGGATGGAGGTCTGAAGCCTTACACAGTGGTGAAGTACTTTATGAACTGTCTGATGCCTTACACAGTGGTGTTGTACTTTATGAACTGTCAATTACTAGCCCAGTAATAGCACTTACTGGCCAGGGCAGTCCATGCTTGGCCTAAGAACGGAGACTGACCTTTTGGCTGGCAATAAGGTCTCAGGGGCATGGTAGTTCTGAATAAATTGACATCAGCAGTGACTTCATAGTGAGGCTGCTATGGATATGCTGCATTGCTCATCCGAGACTGCAATTGCCTTGAGTTGGTACAGATCACACCACACACACCAATATCTAATGTCACGGGGATGGAAGCATTCACAATCCTCCTTTCTTCATTGAAACAACCAAGATTACTCCCTCCCAACAAAAGCAAAAATCCTTTTGAGGGTAGATCTTGTTGGTTATGTGTTCAGATGAAACACTGCAATCTTGAGGAATGCTGAATTAAGTTCTACTTGCTTAGGCCATTACATGAATGGCTATAACATTGTGAAGGAAATTAACTTCTTGTGTATTACAGATAAGCATCCACTACAGCGCCATCTACAGCTCAAAAGACATCAGTACTGGAATTCTGGAACTCTATCTATATAATAAGAAATTTTACTAAATGGATGTGCAAGTTAAAGGAACATCTTAACACTGAATATGTTTCATTTGTGACAATGATTCAGTTTTTTTTATTATTATAACAATAAAACAGTGCAGGGCTATAAAATATCTATTGTAAATATCAGAGGGCTACTATTGTTATTAGACTATAACTGTGCTTAATTTCAAAACCTATATAGCAAAATCTCAAACTTCACCATAAATGCAGATACAAAATCACAATTTTCCCTGTGTGTGTTGTAAAGTAGCCACTGCTCTAAGCTCACTTCCATGATGGACTACAATTTCAATACAAATTAGTAAACTAAACGTGAGATTGTAGTCCATCGCAGGAGCGAGCTTGGAGCTGTGGCTACTTTACAGCACACACAGGGACCATGGGGAACAAAAGTAGCCAGCCTCCAGATGGAAGGACAGTATCAGCTTAAATTTAGAGATGATTTAAGGATCTATAGCCAAGTGATACAGAAATAAGATACATTTTTGTTAATAGTTAAAGTAGTATTAAACTCTAGTATCAAACTTTTTTCAATAATGAATCCAGGTCAAACAAATATAAATTGCCCAGCAAAACATTGCTTTACATTTTTGCCCAAACACTTACAATCATCATGTTTCTATACAGCTGCTCCCACATTTCTCAGCTCATTTTCCCTGAATGTCCTGTCTGGTACAAGATCACAAAGGACAGTGCAGACTCCAACAACTTGTTCATCTACTAGCTTTGAGAAGGGAGGAGAGGGGGCCAGGGGAGAGGGGAGTAGCTTTATTTGATATGTCTGTGTGTTTGTGGAGACACAAACAGTTTACTAATACACACAAGGGTGACTGCATACCACTCTGCTTTAGAAAGGAGTCACTCTAAATGGGAAGTCAGGACCAGTATTCAGGGGACCAGCTGATTCTGCAGGAAACTAACATTTTTAAACATCAAGGAGCAGCATTCATAGTAAGTGATTTCATCAGCATTTGAAATAGCTTAAAATCCTTTTGACTAATATCACTTTAAGGTATTTGAATGCATTTTTAAGATTTAACTTCTGAGCTTAGTGTCACTTTAACCTCCAGAAGAAATGCCAGAGATGACATTGCACTGACTCTGGGCAGTTTGGGATTTCATTTTTTATTGTGATAGTGAAGAACCCTTTAATCAGATGTTTTGAAAACAATCTTTTTTTACCTTAAAGCAAAAAACTGCAAACCATTTGTAACAGACTAAAGTTATCATTTGAAATAGGTACATGTAAATAAAGAAATTACCCTGCTTTGAAAATGCACTAGCTTTATAAATATGCTCCATATGGACCAACTAGTTGAAGCACAATTTAAATAGGTAAAGTGAATGATACAGTGAAGCAACCAATATTTTCATTTCCTAGAGAGCTTACTTTTTATGTGATTCAGTGATGATGACCATTATTATTTTTAATAGTAACACATTTATTGTGCTCTTCAATGTTCTCATTGCATATTTTTGTTCCTAGGACTACCTAACAACCCATAGGTTTGGTAATGCTGCAAGAAAAGATCTGTGGAATACACTTTCAAAGGTACATTTACGTATTCTCCTTAATACAGGCGAAAAAGCAAAAAGTCTATTGTAGTCTTCCTTAAACTAAGTACTGTACTTAAGATGAATATAAAGTGTTGTATATAATTCCGAAGAAAGGCAAGATGTCCATTAAATGGGCTATTGTTATATTGCAACATTCATGGTTGCTCGGTTCAATCACACCAGTGCAGTGCACTATATGCTAAGTTGTTTAAACTGAGGGGAAGGAGGTGTTTTTTCTTGCTATAAATTGCATGCTGAAATATGCTAATAGTTGCTGTTTTGCTTCCTATTTATAAAAACAAATAAGGCTGTAATATTACATGGTATTTCTCCATCATTCATTGAGGGACTCAAGAATATAGTAAATCAGCGATGTTTGGGTTTTGATGCTGCCTTCAGTAGTTGGACACTAGCAAACAATAAAAAAAGTTGAAGGCCAGCCCAATATATCCTCATCCCTAACTGTCATGCCTTCGTTTTTTTTTTTTTTGCTAGTGTCCTACTGTAGCATGTCAGACACTACTCCTCAGCTATGCTTAAGAAAATGCTGTCTATATATTTATTTTCCTTATTAACATTTATAGAACTTCATGGATGTTTTGTTCAATCAAGATTTTTATTAAGTTATTTGAGCAGGTCTCTACAAAGCAGCTATCCAGATAGGCTAAACCATCGCTGCCTATGAGGCCTTTTCTGCAACCTGCAATGTGACCCTCAGGCACTAGGCTCTGCTTGAGGTGTTTCCTAGACACATGAAGGGGAATTTATTAAAAAAATGGAGCAGACAGAATCTGGAGCAGTTGCCCATGGCAACGGACCAGCTTCTATGTTCAGTTTGTACAGTTAAAGAAGAACTATGGGGTCTATTCACAAAGCTGCCGAGGGCAGCCGAGGGAATGACCGATCAGAAGTGAAGTGAGACGAACACTGTTCGGCTATTCACTTCAGGCTGGTACGGCTGATTTCAGCCATATATCGGCTGAAATCAGCCGTACATCGGCTTGCTTCGTGTGGATTCGGATCAGCCGAACATGCTCAGCATGTTCGGCTGACCCGAAGTGCAGAAGAGAACCCAGCTGAAGGATCGGCCGAAGCTACGGCCAGATCCTTCGGCAGCTTTGTGAATAGACCCCTATGAGTGATTTTCACTCATCCTCATAGTTAGAGCCAACCTGTGAAAAAGAAGCTGTTAAAGGTCGGCTCTATTGATCGGGAAGTGAGCAAACAAGTACCATTGATTGCTCTCTTCCTGATCATCTCCCCGCAGAAAGTGGTCTGCTCCCGACAGGGATTCACAGGGTAGCACTGCCTCTGCCTCTAGATAGTGCTTACTGTCACTCACACAGCTGGGTTGATTCAGACAGTATTTCGGGATCCACTCCGGCTGCAGCACTCTCAGTATATTGCGGATACTGAGCTTTGTGTCACAGGAGGAGGTATGTATATGTCCTCACGTGACCCTAAAAAGAACTATGGGGAAAAACACTTACCCCATAGTTCTCTTTTAAGCTTTAAAAATTAAACAATATTAGTGGCGACAACGCGTGTGGACCATAGCACTGCCACTACACCAATGCCTAGAGGTAAAAGATCATGTCAGTGATTCCTACCGGTCTGACTTTTAACAGATCGCCATGTGTCCCAAGTTCCTGCCATATCATCTGCACTAGGCAGCAGTTGACCAATTCCCAAGGATTTATGATTTAGCTGTATCAGTGTCCTAATAAATGGAAGTTTTCTGTTCTACTAAAGGTCATCATCTCTCTTTAATATAACACTTTTCCATTCTGCCCCTAATGGAGTGAGATTTACGGGAACCCCGTTAACATACTTTCCTTTCATACTCTCACTTGATTCTTAAGTAACAGACTTTGGATTTCAAACTATGCACACCTGGCAGGCGTATCTAGACATACGGGGGGAATTTATCAAAACTGGAGAAGACAAAATCTGTAGCAGATTTGCACTGCAACCAATCAGCTTCTTTGTCTCATTTTCAAAGCTTTACCTGAGCAAACTGAAGAGAGATGCTGATTGATTGCCATGGGCAACTGCTCCAGATTTTGTCTGCTCCAGTTTTGATAAATTACCCCCACGGTATGTATCAGTCTTTACGTGACTTTTCATTTCAATTGAATGTGCACATCTCTTCTTTCTAAAAGCAATCTAAGGGGTCTATTCACAAAGCTGCCGAAGGATCTGGCCGTAGCTTCCTTGGCCGGCCGACAGCCTGCTTCTGACAGCTGGGCGGAGCCAGCCGTGATCTTACGGCTGGCTCCGGCCACTTTCAAGGCTGCCCTCGGGCAGCTTTGTGAATAGACCCCTAAGACTTCACTTATCACTACTGAAGTCTGTTCCTTATGCCATCACTGTATGCCTGATGAAGGGACATTTTGCTCTGAAACATCATATTTCTGTCAACAATAAATTACTCTATATTGAGCTTGCGATGTGCTGGTGATATTGCACTTTTTGTCCCTTACACTGAGTGACATTTACACTATACCATGCAGAACTCAAACTCTTGTTTCCTGCACCTAAACTTTCCTCCTTATTCTGTGAGGGTTCTGTTCTCTATTACAACTTCTTTCCCTTCCTCCCAGGGAAATATCAATTCTGTTAGTACTGTACTACCCTGGAAGTTCTCTTTCACAACGTTTTTCCCTTCCTCCCAGGGAAATATCAATTTTGTTAGTTCTGTACTATCCTGGAAGATTATAGTGTGTCTAAAACCAAAAACAGAAATGTAATATTGCAGCTTACCAATTCTCAAATGGGATGGCTTCATTATGTATTAGCCAGTCAGTTCCAGGATAATCCTGGAAATGCATCAGCGAGACCAAGATTCTGGTTCACATGTTCTCTTGTCCAATGTGGTTCTATGCCGGTTATATTGCGTTACCTTTAGAAACGCTCTGTTTAAGACGTTTGTGAGTATCATTTTATTCAACTTTTATTTTTGGTCTAATAAACATTATTACATGAGGAGAATGTGTTGTTCTCTCTCTTTTTGTTTTGGATGTTATCTGAGGCTTTCCAACCTGCTATGAAACAGCAGCCCCCTCCATGCCAACATTGATGTCCATTATTGAATATCCCTTTCAGCCTTTGGCATTTGGAGCCCTCCACCAAGTACTGACTAATTAGAAAATATATTAGTAACATACTTCCTCTCTTAAGATGTCTCCACTCTATGGAAAAGCAACAGAGCCACCCTTGGACAGCAGAATTGTGGAAAGGGTAATGTTAGATGCACTAGCAAATTTAGATGATTTACAAATTAATTTCAAACTCCAGCAAACTGCACTTTTTGGACAGTTATAGCATTTTTTCCTTTTGGGATAAAGGTTTTACATAAATGAATAAAAGCTAACCTTTGAGCACCCCATCAGTGTTAAATGGCTTTTTTAACCCTATATCTGCCACTTTTCCTGGATAGTTTGATCAGCCACCGCATATGGGGATTTGAAAGCTACAATATATAACATGTTTGGTTTTGTGTTTAATCCCTTTGCTTATGGAGCAGTTTATTTATTTTTTCATTTTTCACACGCATTTTAAAATCTAGCATCCTAGTGATGCTTCTTGTCCTCCTCTGGTACATCAGATTTGATCTTGGTGTCTTTTCTTGTAGCAGCAATTTTCATATTTGACCCCTTTTTATTTACTAGCCTTTAAGACAATTCTTCTTTAGATACTCTACTAGTAAGATTTCCTCATCCATTTAATCTCTCAGTGGCTGTTGCCTACCCCTCATTTGTATCACTTAGGACATCCCACACATCTATGATTTACAATATTGCTGTGTGCCTCAATGCGCGATAAAGAAAATAAGATTTTTGTACTTACCTTAAAATCTTTTTCTTGGAGCCCATTGGGGGACACAAGATAAATGTGAAAGATGTCCCCAGCACACCGAAGATTCTTTTGGAATCACCAAATGCTTATTTTATTGAACAAGTTGTCTGAATGAATACAAGCGCTTTCACGACCTCGCAGGGTCTCTTCATCAGGCTTCAGTATTGACACGGTCAATGCTGAAGCCTGATGAAGGGACCCTGCGAGGTCGCAAAAGCGCTTGTATCCATTCTGACAACTTGTTCAATAAAATGAGTATTTGGTGATTCCAAAAGGATCTTCGGTGTGCTGGTGACATCTGTCACATTTATCTTATGCATACAGCGGTGCCATCCGCAGTCATTACGAGCACCCTTCTCATTACATGGGATCTCTGGTAAAGAGTGCAATAAGAACCTTTCTACTTATCCATTGGGGGACACAGGCCCCATCGTTTGTGTCTTGGCCTTCTGTACTGCTTGCTCACAAAGCTGAGGTGTGATGGCTAGGGGTGGGGTTATGGTAAGCTGTTTGCTTCTTTCCACCTCCTGAAGGCAGAAACCTAACCCACATGTACTTAATATACTATATCTTTGTGTCCCTCAAATGACTCCTAAAAAAGATTTTACGGTAAGTGCAAAAATCGTATTTAATGGAAATTTGCAATGAGTGCTATAACTTATTTTCTAAGGTATTGAAAAATGAAGGCAAATCTGTGAACATTCAAGAAGTGATGGATCAGTGGACACTTCAAATGGGATATCCTGTAATAACAATACTAAGAAATGAAACAGTAGAGGATGGAATAACAATCACTCAGGAGCACTTCCTATACAATATAGATGCAAATACCAGAGACCTTGAGCTAAGAAATAACAGGTACAGTATATTACCTTTTAAATATATGACTAAAGCTTTGTGTTTAATTTGTGGTCTCCTTTGCCATTTCAATTTTTTTTGCTTTAGCTAAAATAAATATATTGTTTTTATATCATGCATGCTGAATTGTATAAAATATTATACTCTATTTTTGCTTCTGCGTTGTTTTGGTTGTGTTTTTTTACCAGTATATATGTGCTAGCTCAGTTCTAAAATCTAAAGTCAAATATGTTTAACCCCTTTGTGACGGGAGACGTACACTGTACGTCCAGCCACAAAGAGCCTGTTAATACTGTGCTGCTCTATATTTCTACTAATTATAAAGTACAAAACAATCGCTTAATAGTGCAAACTTATACAGTGAATCACTTAACTCATTTACAAAGAACCTAATTATGAGTCTCAAAAAAAAACATCCGCAGTGAAATTCCGTTCGTGGTTCCCACCATTCCTCTACCTATGCTATCATTGTGGTTCCCACCATTCCTCCACTTGTTCAATCATCCTCAATTCATGAAATGCCTCCACCAATGCCGTGGACACCCTCCAGAGAGCAGCTCACCTGGTTATAAGACCTAAAAACAAGGTAATGTAACTCCAATCCCTTTCAGGTTTGATCCAGGGCGGGTGATTCCCCATTTAGTCATGACAGCTCAAACGCACTTCTCTGCATCTTCTCTTCACACTCCAGAGTTAGTACCACTGCAGGGCAAAATAACTGTCAGATCTCTCTACTCCCAGTTTCCTTTTCATACTTCAGCCACCATGTATAAGGCAAAAAGGAAATCCCTAGTGCACACTGCTCATAAAGGTTAAAGCATTTATTAAAAGAGCTACTCACATAAAATGCATAAAATCACAACAATTCACATGCTTCACTGGGAGCTCAATATGCCTCTCTCTTCCATGTTTCTGCCAGCCCACAGTGATCTCAGGCTGCACCATACGTATGTTACTTCATTGATGACTTAATCAGGGGTGTGGGGCTGAGACCGCATATCTGAATACATATATACAATGTGGTCACCATGGTAACATTGAAACCAATGTTGGTAACAATAAAATAACTGATAATCCCACTAGTTACTTTGTCCACACCTCATCGGATACCATTCTGGTATTAGCTCTGGTCTGGTCTTGTACACAGACATCCTGTTAGCAGCTCTCCACTGTGTATACTCCTCCAGAGTTTCTCCCCGGGTGTTTGTACCCACAATAAAATACACTTTTTTTTATTAGGGGTATATTTTAAGCCATGTACTAAAACCAACAGCTCTTCCTTATTTAAAAAACAGAACTTCAAATAAAATATTTTCCGCTACATCCTTTGTTTTCTTTTTATGGCATTGCCCAGCTTCTCTCTGCCTTCTGACCAGCGGGGCTTTCTGCAATCTATATTCATTTTCCTCTACTCCTGTTGAATTCTCTGTCTCTCTTTTTGCCAATTTTCATATTTCCTTTCACCAATATATTCCCTTAGAGCTGCATAATGATTGTACGTTGCTATTGCCAGTGTGCGTGTGGAGCTGTGATGCACCATAAGAGATTCTCACCAATGTCCCTCATTCTTCCTATGAGTCCATTTCTTCTCTTTTCTGCCAAAGTACCTAGGGCAATCCTGAGCTCTATCCTCCCTATTTTTAGGTATCCAATACAGGCCGTGATTAAATTGCATATCCCTTTTTCCTGGATGCATAATCCTTCCTGACATTCTTTCTCCCCTCTTGATCATTTCCCCTGTAACCTGCTTCTGTTATAAATTCTTGTTGCATACCTGGAGTGTTACTCTTCACTGGTGAGGATTTAGTGGATGTTACATTTTCTGCCTCAAAAAATTTGATCTGCCATTTGAAAACCTGTTTTGATTTACAATCATGTTTATCCCTTATAAATGTTTTACTTTTTGTATTTTTGACCTCCTGATCCACCTGATGCAGATACTGCTACAATTCATTATAGGCAGCTGTATATACTCTAGTCTCCTTATATGGTGCTAACCTTTCATTCAGCTCCTCAACCTCCTCATTTATCTTATATATTTTCATCTATCTTCTTTTCATCAGCAATTTCAATGTGGACACTATAGCATTATAAAAAATTGTATATCTAGTGTGTGGTTCAATGTAGGGTTTTACTACATTTTAGTGCATAACCCCTTTAGTGTTGTAGGTGCGCATGAGTAAATGACAGGCATTGTCTGAACAGTAACATTGCATCAGGTGGGGCATCATGAACCAGCCCTCCTATACAATTATCTACCTTCCTTAAGCAAAAGTAGTAATTTCATGAAAAATATTATCTTTTGCTGACATCCACCAGGATGTGTACATATTAATTTAAATATATTTAATGTACAAGTTAAAATTTATTCTTTTAGGTTAGATTACTGTTATTTTCCCTTTATCTGTCATTCTGTGTTTGATTCAAAATGCTCCTTCTGTCAGATATTTTGGCAGAGAAGCTACACTTTACAGGGCAATATTTAGTAGACATGGCAAGGCCAGGATATTTATCATAGCCATCATTAACTGACACTCATGCTGCTTATGAAAGGTGACAAATTATATCAACTGGAAATCTTCCACATCTTAGTAATAACCACCAGAGGTGACAGTTTTAAAGCAGCATAAAGGATAAGAACTTGAGGGAATAGTTGCTGTTCTTCAATTTTACCTCTTTAGTGAGTCTGATACAATTAATATTAATTGATAAAATAGCTTAAAGCACTTTAAGAAATCACTGTCATAGTAGAAGTCTGATTACTTCACTGTCATCTTGTTAAAAATGGGACATGGAGATGCTGACACAGCTCTCTAACTTTATCAGTGACTTCCTTATATTCCTTTTATAAATAGAAAATCTCAGTGTCCACGCTTGATCTGTGACCAACTGACGCCAAGCCCTACATGACCTAAATGTCACCATGATGTCCATAGCAGTTAAATTACTAATGGAAATCAGGCTGCATATGGATCATTTCTGAAATATTGATCTATCTGTGACATTCAACAAAGCTGTGCACAATGAAGAGAATTGTATACAGTACATTCTTAGAAAAGTCTTTGTTCAATAATATAAATGTGGCCATTTCAGTAGACTATTTTTCTGCTTTCTATGCAAATGGTAGTTTGAATATTGAGAGCTACATTACAAGTGGAAGCTTCAAATAAATCCCAATACTGAATATCTATCAGTCAAAGGAACACATAAAGTCTTGCTTTTAGGGCATGTGTAAAGTTCTGATTCCTTTAGTGACATACACTGTCATCAAGTACTGCCTCAGGCATGCTACTAATGTTTAATGTTCTTTTTCTTAAATTAATTCCAGTAGTATGTCTTGATGGTGTTCTTTATTTTTCTGTTGCTAGGTTATTCAGTACACTTCATTGGGAGTCTGAGTTTCAGAATGGCACTTTATTTGATTAGCATTTCTTGTGAGATTGTTTGGTGGCTCAAAACTGTTCTGTGCTTAATTTTAAAATCACAAATTTAAACAATTTGGAACACAACTTTTGTTTTTTGTTGTTGTTTTTTTTGCCTTGTGTCACTGTTCTGCATGAATAACCTGTTTTTGTTCTTGTGTGTTTGTTTTGATTTCGCAGCTATCTTTGGCAGATTCCATTAACTATTGCAGTAGGAAATACAAGTCACATCTCCCCACAGACAATTATATGGGTATCAAACAAATCAGGTGAGAGCATAGCAAATGCCAATGGAAGAAAAGCACAAATTATTGTTTTCTTTTTTTCAGGCATATTTATATGATGTTGGCTGCCATGGAATGAGTATAAATATTTACATAGTTACATAGGTCTAAAGGTTGAATAAGGACACAGGTCCATCAATTTCAACCCATGTGGTTGCGTGTGTGTGTGTGTGTCTTGAATGATTCCATACTCTGAGATGAAAAAACTGCCTGTGGAAGGGAGTTCCACAATTTTACAACTCTCATTGTATGGAATCCGCTTTTCAAAAAAGAAACCTTTTTGCATCTAGTTTCAGATGGAGGCCTCTTGTCATTTTAACCTCCCTGGCGGTATTCCCGAGTCTGGCTCGGGGTTAATTTTCAATACCAGGAGCGGTAACCCCGAGCCAGACTCGGGAATGCACAAAGTGTCACTTACCTTGTCCCTGCGAGCCCGCAGCGTCAACTTACAATAAATAGTTAATTACTGATTATCCCATCACCATTAAACAATTTGTACAATAATATCACGTCCCCTCAGTTTTCTCTTTTCAAGAGCAAAACAAGTTTAACCTCCCTGGCGGTATGATTATGCAGGATTTTAGCATCCCAAAGCGGTACATTGTTTTTCATGGAAATTTGTTGTTTTATATTGTAGGCCTGTAATTCTTAGTAAATCTTAGTAATAACTCACCTAAATCTGTCCAAAAAAAGAGTCCAGTAGACATCCCAGGTATGATAACGTTTGAAACACAAAATCATAAATTATAATATAATAATTAAAAAAATGGTCCAGTAAATGAAAATTCTGGGGGCGCTGCCTGATCTGTACCACAGTCAATGGAGTACAGTAAAAGTGCAGGCAGGGCACTGGAAAAAGCTCTAGTGACAAAATTGAAGTTAAATAGTTTGATACATATATGTAATTATAGCAGATTACATTGTATTCTGTGTAAATGTCATGTTTGCCCTTTTGAATTTCCCGCCGGCTCCGCCGCCCTCTGTGATGCTCAAAAACGTAACTGAAAGCCGAATGCCGGCATCGGCCGGGCGCACACAGCAGAGGACACCGCGGGCTCGCAAGGACAAGGTAAGTGACACTTTTGCGCTATCCCGAGTGTGGCTCAGGGTTACCGCTCTCGGCACTGAAAATTAACCCTGAGCCACACTCAGGAATACCGCCCATGGAGGTTAATGCATGCAGTCTTTCCTCATAATTTAGGTCCTCTAACACTTTTATTAGCTTTGTTGCCCTTCTCTGGACTCTCTCCAGCTCAAGGACATCACTTCTGTGGATCGGAGACCAAAACTGAACCACATACTCAAGATGAGGCCGAACCAGTGTTTTGTAAAGGGGCAGAAATATGGATTTGTCTTTAGGGTACATTCATTTTTTTATGCATGATAGTACCCTGCTTGCCCTATTTGCTGCAGCCTGGCATTGCATGATGTTACCAAGGTGAATGTCCACTAGGACTCCCAGATCTTTTTCCACCTCAGATTCCCCCAGTGGAACGCCTGTTAATAACTACTTTGTATGTGTATTTTTAACTCCAAATTGCATAACCTTACACTTACACAAGATTAAACCTCATCTGCTATGCAAATGCGTGCCCCCTATTTTAAGCAGGTCTTCCTGTAATATTGCTATTTAGAACTTACTTTTCTTAAAATTAAGCCATTAAGCTATTTAAAAATGGTAATTTTACCATAGTTGCAAAAAAGCAGTTCAATGACAAATCCAAAATCCTGTCCAAAGAGAGAAGCTACTAATTTTCAAACTGTGTATATAGAATTTACCGCATGCATACCTGGTTTAACCCTTTCGCTGCCACTGCCTTATGTAATACTGTGGTGGCAATGAGCCCCTTTAAACAGACTGTCAACTTTACAATGGAAGCAATTCTGGTACCTCAGCTGCTGGCAGATTTCTTCCAGGGGTTGGTAAAGTGTGCTCCGCCTGCAGGACATCCTAGCCTTGTTTCCTTGGCTACGCTTCCCTTCCTGCGGACCTGGGACCGGCTTGTCAGGTATCAGCGGGAATCAGGGAAGGAGGCCAACGAACATCTATTCGCTGATCTTCCCACTGAATGGGACTGGGAGTGATGCTGATTGCACCTCTTCCGGTCCCATAGCTGTCATTGCACAGCTGCAGAAGCCGAGCAATTCACTATTGGAATGCGATCTGTGCTCCAATGGCTTATTTAGAAAGGAAAGGTGACACTAGGGTGTCTTTTGGACCCCTAGTGTCACCTTAAAGAGTAGCTCTCACTACTAATATGCTATCGCATAAGGGGCTTGTAAGTGAAGAAAAATAGAAAAATGTTTAAAAAAATTGTATTAAACAAAATAATCGTAAAGTAATAATCTTTGTCCCCCGCAAGCACGCGCACATTTCGTGCGCCTACGTACGAAAAATGATCATGCGGCACATGTTGGGGAATCACTGTGCATGCCAGAGTGAGACCAATAATTATAGGGCCAATATTCATAGATATCTCTAAAAGGATGACCTGTATGGGCTTTTAAAGCGCCGCCTATGGACAATTTGGGTTACCATATTTTGTTGCTATTTCACGGATGCTCACAATTTTTTTACCTGGGCCTATTGGGTATCTATTTACTTGTTGTAACCTCATCTTTTATATTTTACAAAATAAATAGGTGTTATATTGTGTTTTTGGCCACTAAAATTGCATTTTGGGGTTTGATGAAGTCTTGCAATAATATTGTGTAATGTAAATATTTGCACCATTTTATTCTACAGGGTCTTTGCTTTTTTAGTAATTTTCAGGTCTGAAACATAGATTATGTGCAAAAAATGAAAAAAAATCCCTTGGCAGTGAAATGGGTTAAAGTATTTGATATTATTGTCAATTTCTAGTAACCCTTTCACCCCTTACCTGGCAAAAAATGACATCCTGTTGTATTATTGTGTAGAAAATCAGCAGCCTGTAGAAAAATGTTACACTCTATTATGCTACTTCATTTTTAACCATTTGTATATCTTGGGAGTTCTACACCCAAACAAATCTTCATCCAATAACAAAGGGTGTGTGAAGTACGCCATTTTCTTCTTTGCGCTGCATTCTCAACTGTCAAAATGACGATAACAGCCTCTGCTGTCAAAAATGTATCTTCTGACACTGTCTTCATAAACATTGTTCAGACTTGTGATAGAGAGATACAAAGTAAAATTTGTACTTTTTTATTTAGTCTGTTTCATTCAGTTGCAGATTGCAGGAATGATACATATGATGACACTTGTTCCAGTGATTACATCTAACAAAAAATACTATCTTTGGTTATAGCAATTCCTTACTCTTTTGAAAACTGAAAAAAGTTTTGGATTTGGATACTTTTTAACTGTGACCCTGCAATATAGAAATAACTTTTGTGCAAATATGGGGTTATTGAAAGCTGGGCTTTAACAATGTGATGCAGGCAGCAATTGCTGCAATAGCAATCAGTTTTAAACCCCCCTATATTTATTACTTCTAATACTAAATTGGCATTGCAATATAAATAAAGTTGTTTTGTCTTTTTTAATATGTAAAATCTATATATTTGTGAATGTTTTCTGTATAAATATTTTTAAAATACTACATCCAAATACAGTACATGCATATACACATGTGCTTCTTGATACCGCAAAGAGGGAAATTTTTTCCTACAAGGACATCTCTTGACCAGAACTTTTTCAACCGTTTATGATATCTGGATATACAGTATGTCAACAGTCAGCAGTGCTTATTAACAAGGAACATGCTGATATCAGGAAAGAGCAGAGTGAAAGAGAGATGAGCTCACCAGTCTGCTTCTTCCCCTTTTACTGTCTAGTCAAAGACTGAGGGACAAGACTTTTAAGTGTTAGTTATCTACAGCTTTCTGCTGTGGTCTGTGCGGTGTGGCAGATCTATATAAATCTTAAGACTTAATGGGCAGCAGTACAAATCATCTGTGTATTAAACTGTTTGCATGATGTTCAGCTTTAAAATGTTGTACTGCTTGGTGTAAAAACATTTTGCACCAAAAAATGTATTTAGGTACCAGCACTTAGCGAAGACCTCTTGTATTAAACAGCCATATAGCACCGCTATTGTTTAGTAAATAAGGACTAAAACAACTGTTCTTTTTTTGATAAATGATAGTTTAAAAACATTGACATTATTAACTGGGTGCTATGTTTTAAATATACCATATCATCATAAATTTCTGAAACTGCACTTCTGTTCTGCAGAATTCCTTCACTTGGAAGAAGTATCCTTTTTATGGCTTTGATTATGAGATTACCCTTTAACCTTTTGATCCTAGCAATTATTTTGCTGAAGATGGCTATTGCGTAAAATGCTTTGCAGTTACATTACTGTATGGTGAGAAATCAATCAATAGAAATTACATGAAACTAGTTCAAGGTTGCAGTTGGCAGGTAGTTTCCTTTTCACTTCTTTGTGGCCAAAAAACATCCGGAATTTTCTCTTCTCAGATAGCTTTTATGTGTGTTCTTGTCTGGTGACTGCAGACTATTGTATTTCTATGATGTTTATGATTTATATGTGGTAAAATGCTAAGTATTTGATTTCATTAACTACACTTACAGTCACAAGACTGGGGCCTGAGCGTCCAAATTATAGCAAAGAAACTAGAGTTGTTAAAATGTTATGTATATATATAATGTATATATAATGTTGTGTATATATATATATACACACATATATATTCCATACAAATATAATGTTGTGTATATATATATATATACACACATATATATTCCATACAATACTTGATAGTTTCAATGACGTTTATTTATGGGTCTCCTTTGTCTCCCTGGTAAAAATGTAAAATAGAATAAACATCCAGGAAAAAATATGAGCCCCCCTGTTAGGATCTGGGGTCCAGGGCACTGGGGCATGTGAGCTCCAGGTCTTGCAGAGCAAGTTAGAGCAGCAAGCTGGAATGAAGCCTGGGGTACAGGGCAGAGGACTCTGAAACTAGGAGTCTGTGCA